GGCGCTGCAGCCTCATGCAGGACCCCGGACCCCGGACCCCGCTCCCTAGGGCCCGGAAGGACCGGCGAGCACTGGCACAGCCCCGCGGCCGCCTGGCATCGCGGTGGCCGCAGGAGCCTGCACCTTCCGCAGCGCCCGCCTGAGCTGTCTGCTGGCTCGGGCCGCTCCTGGAGGAGCAGGGCCTCGGGGCCACCTCCAGACCAGCCCTGCCCTGCCCTGCCCAAGGCAGGATCCGCACAGACTACCCCGTCCTGAGCTGTCCATCTGGGCCATGAGGCTGAAGTTGGTTCCTTATTCCCGGTTTCATATTCCTTATTCCCGGGTCCCTGTCCCTTTTTCAAAACTAATCTAGACCCAATCAAAACTTGTTATTAATGAATTACACATCCTAAAGAGTCAAGAGACAGAATTTCATTAGCTACCATATGTACTAATTAATATGTACACTAATATTCGAGCCCTAAACCAAGGTCAGATTAGGATGGGATTATACTAATTAATATATACAATAATATCTCGCATCAAGTACAGAGCCCTAAACCAAGGTCAGATTAGGATGGGATTATGGGGCAAAATACTTCTTGGGCCGCTCCAAATTTCGCGGCGATGCCATTGGGGACTGTCCCAAAGACCCCTGACCACAGTCCTGCCCGGCCCCAAGCGCGGTCTGGCCGTGCCAGGCTGCCAACTGCCAGCCCCCATGCCCACTCTCCTAAGTATAATGGCTTGAATAAGGAACTGACTTTCGGGCTGGGATTATGGCTAAAAAAATTTTCTTTGGCTTTCGGGCTGGGATTACGGCTAGAAATCCCGCTTGGGCCACCCATCAGAATACCTCTGTGCCCCGGGGGACTGTCCTGGACATCCGTGACCAGAGACTTGCCTGGCCCAAAATGCGGTTTATCCATGCCAGGCTGCCAACTGTCACTGCCTCCCAGGCACTGTGCTAAATATATGGAACTGAATAAGGAACTGTTTTGGGGGCTGGGATTAGAGATGGAAGTCCTTGTTGGGCCACCCCACTCTATGACTCTGTGACACTGGGCGACTCTCCTAGGCATTCCCGAGCAGAGTATTGTCCAGCTGGCCCAAAATGCGGTTTATCCATGCCAGGCTGCCAACTGTCACTGCCTCCCAGGCACTGTGCTAAATATATGGAACTGAATAAGGAACTGTTTTGGGGGCTGGGATTAGAGATGGAAGTCCTTGTTGGGCCACCCCACTCTATGACTCTGTGACACTGGGCGACTCTCCTAGGCATTCCCGAGCAGAGTATTGTCCAGCCCAAAGCGCAGTCTGCCATGCTGTCAACTCAGAGCACGCCTCCCCCAGCGACTGTATTAAAGACAATGGCTTGAATAGGGAACTGTTTTTGAGCTGGGATTAGAAATGGAAATCCTTCTTCTCCACCCCACACTATGACTCTGTGGCACTGGTGGACTCCCCTGGACATCCCTGACCAGAGTCTTGCCTGGCCCAGAGTGCAGTTTCTTCATGCCATGCTGCTAACTACAGCCCCCATATCCATTAACATAATAAAAGGCTTCATCTGGCTGTCTGTGTCTGTCTGAATGTCTGTCCCTAATGCTTCTAGCCAGCTGTGCATGCGCCCACGAGAGGGAGGGAGGCAATTGGCTGGGCGGCACATGCTGCGTGGGCCCAAATTTGCACCACTACCAGGGAATTTTGGTGGTGGGGAATGTGCCCCAGCCATCTGAGCAGCCAGGTTGCCTCCCGTCTTCCTGCCTGAGGGCCAGTGGGGTATCATGGTGGCCGCCCATCCTGGAAGCCTTCCAGACAACCGGCAGGGACAGGGAGATGGGGGGCAGGGAGTGGGGGAGGGAAGGGAGGTAGGCAGATGCAGGCCAGGCAGACCTGAAGCGGCTGAGGGGGGAAGGAAGGAGGGGATCAGGGTCGAACCTGAAGCAGCAGGGAGGGGGGGGGGGCGGGAGCGGGACCGGA